ATATGAATTACTAGTTTTTCTATATAAATAATGAGTGTTCAAACACCAATAACCCATAACATAAATCCGCTACTGGGTAAGGAAGGGGTTTGAATTCATCTGAAATTATACTCAAGTGCAAGTAAGATAAAAACAAAAAATTTGTATAAATGTAAACTATTGAATCCCCTTTAACATAGGAGAAGCTTATAGATTTTTTGCATTTTTTTTTTAACCCCTTGTTAGAATTCCTCACTACGCCATTAGTAGTAGAATGTCTAATATTAATCTAATGCCCTAATTAGTTTTCTCATATTTATTGCTGATAGTTATCTAGCAAAATGAAGGGAAAAGAAGTATAAAGAAAACATATATAGTATTATAACCTTGGGATAATGGACGACAACATTCGAAGATGAGATAGCTGTGCAATTTCAGCTGAGTCTCCACTGTTGTTCAAGGGACTTCCCATATACACAATGTAAGGCTGCATCCAATCAAGCAATTATCAAAAAAAAAAAAAAGGAAGGAAAAAGGAGAAGGATTTAATACTATATGCAGATAGAAAATATTGAAAAGAAAAATATTGAAACAGAGGTAACATAAATATGAAAAATACTAGTTAAGAAGTCTGCATGCTGTCAAAAAAGAATATAAAATCCAAAAACAAAGAAGGAAAACTTGTTCAATATGATTTGAGAAAAGAAAAAAATTCATATATCACTTAGAAATTTCAATACCAGGATCAAAGTACATTCCATCTAGAATTAATATAAATATGTTTACAGATTCACAATTTGTTCAAATAGTCGAAATCTCTTTTTCTAATTTTCCCAAATTAAAGAGAAACTTACCTTGGGAGTCTGATTTGATGCGATGCAAGAAGTGATCAGAAAGAGTGTGGAGATAATTGGAGAAAAATGAAAGAGAGAAGCCATAGCATAGAGTATTCATGCAAGCAAAGCAAGTAAATTCCTTGTCAATAAGAAGAGGAGCATAGGCTTTTATAGCTTGTTATTTCTCTTCAGTCCTATTAATTACATTACTTTTTGAGTTTTTGTATTATATATTCACTGATTAATCTTGCATTATTGGACTACAATTACTGCCAAAAAAAATGGAAGAGAAGAGGCTTATTCAAATGATTTCTTGAAAATGGAAAAAAGTTGAAGTACATGACAAGCAAGCACTTTCGCTCAATGCATGCACAAGTGTTGTGTTATGAAACAAACCTCAAATTTTTGCAATATTAATATTCTTTGATCAGCCACCTAAGTGATGCCCTATTTCACTTTTTTTAACATTGATTCCTTTGGTACTCGAAATATTATTGATAAACTGATTATTTCATCTTTAATTTGGAACTAAAAGATTTAAAAGAACAATAAGAGGCGATCAAGTTATAAGAGAAAATACACAAAGTTGGCGCAATATAGATTTTAGGATGTGTTTTTTGCATATTTTGCCTTTCAAGAGTAATGTCAAATACATCACATATATCGTACATGTGACCGCNTGGGAAACAAACACTTGAACTCCAATTAATTAATTCCTTGGAAAAAAGGAACTCTAAGAATCAATGAAACGATTCACTTTACAGCAAGAGTTTGGAAGAAGCTGAACATGCAAAGTGCTTATACCATGTTCATCTCTACGCTTTACTCTTCTTGAATAGGAAAATGGTCAGACATTTTATTTTGCACATAGCTAGAGAACCATATTATAATAAACAACAAGCCGTGAGTCGGACTAGCAAGGTGTTCATTAAGATTCTGCAAATGGAGTGAGGTGTGACCAATCTAGAATGGAGATCAATATAATATTCAGATATTCTGAAACAAATAAAATATCATACAAGTAAATATTTAAATCTCAAAAAAAGAATCAGAAAATGAATTACCTAACTTTTAATTTCAGTAAAAAAATTGGTCAAAATGATCCTCTGGAAAAGCAAACTCAAAATTTAAATTGGATGAAAGGAATAGACATTGTTAACTCTATTAACTACTACAATATCTCAGCAACCGGATAACTTTGTCAATGAAATTACCAGGAAGAAAAGAGAATAGGATAAGATTATATCAAAAATATTACTACTACAAGGAAATCATTTCTCATGTGTTGGAATATGCTGCATCTCTCTTCTACAATTCTTGGCCCACCAAAGTGCTCAAAATCAACAGTGTCAAAATAAAAGGTGGACAGTGCGAGTAAATATATGGTTTGTACTTACTCCAAGAAACTTGGAATGATCCACGTCTTCTCATGCGCCAAGAATGGAAGAACTGTTGCTAGTATAAACCTTATAAGACGGAGATGGAAATAATCCTCTCACTCACCCTGAGACCTCCTGCTCAGGTGCAAGCGGAAATGTATGGTAAGAACTTGATTGGACTAACTTATCATAAGTTAAACATTTGCGCTGGCAAATTTCGTTTTCTACCACAAGGCCCAATTCCTGATAGCTCCATGGAAATGTCAATGCTTCGATGTTGAGCAGCACGAACGACGCTGATGCGACATTGTATTTTAACCGCAGGGCAAGCATCAGTACCAACCGCGGCCATTTTATCAACGTTTAACTTTCCTGAGGATACCATTGCAATTGGTTCCGAGAAAGTGAGGACAGTCTGTGACCAGTGAGTGCTGGGAGTATGGGGAGATGTGGACAAGACAGTTGGCTTTTCTTTACAGAATCTTTCTGTAAATCCAGTCTCAAACCAAATGACAACTCCATAACACCAAGTTGTAATCGGTTTTGAACCTGGAGACCCATTTCCAGAAGTTTCTCCCTTCAGCTCCAGTTCAACCTTAGCAGTAAAATCCATCTCCTCCAGCTTCATTGTCACCAGATCAAAGTTCTGTTCAAGTATACTTGGGATGTCAGAGAATTACTGTAAAATCATAAAGAGATTTTTGCTTAGTTTTTAAATCTGTTTAATGGTTATCCTCCTGAAAAACACTGTTTCATCGGGCAAGGGATTCTGTGGGGAAAAGCCAGGGAGAAAATCCTTTCTAGCAACAGTTGTCTTCACGGTTTCACTCAAAACTCTCTTGTGTCTCTTATTTCTCAGATAATACATCTACATAACTATTTAAAATTTACAACAAAGTCCTTATAGCCTGCCAAAGCCACACCCCAACAATTTCTATGGGCTTCTTATAAAACACAAGTGAATCCTAGAATCGAGTGGAAAGATGACCTAGGTAATATAAAATTAATCAAACATTGGACTTAACATATTTGAGTTTAAACTGTCATGATAATGTGTCTAAAACCAAAAATGGTTGACGATGCCAATATGCTGTCATGCAGAGAACTGATATTAAAATAAGGACCATTTAAAGGTCAACAACATAGTCTTCATGCTTCTCAACGCAGATANTAAAGTTTTCATGGTTCTCCACGCAGATTAAAAGACAAACCTGGAGAACTGTTGAATTAGTTATTATATCACAGCTGTCAATAACATCAACTATTGGAATTCTGGAAGCATCTTTAACAATCTCCTCGCCGATACAAGACATATTAAACCCATAAATGTTTTCCCAAAATGGAATGCTTGTACCACCTCTTCCAAATCCAGCAACAAACTAGAAAAGTTATGTGGGGAGAGAGGTTAGCTTCAACCTAGAAATGAATGATGACTTAAACAAATGCAAGAAAAGCTTTTGAGAGTTACCATGGTTGCCATGTCAGGAAGAACAGCACCTCCAGGCTTCAAAAATTGATCACGTGCATACAGGACAGAGCTAAGCATTGACTCATAAAGCAGGCAATAACCCATCCATTCACTCACCAACACATCAACACTGTGTGGCCGAACTTTCTGAGTACTCTGTAGCTCTTCAACCATGCCCTGAACAACCTCCATTACACCATTGCCCGGATCAGAACCTTCATTCTCGCTTCCAATCCGCAAAATGTTATTGTCTTTGGCAATCTAAAATTATAGTAAGAAGTTTGGAAAGTAATGGAATTTAGTAAATAATACTGGAGCTGCAAAATCTGAAGATAAAACTGTTAAATTTGGAAAGCAACGTGACAATTTAATAACGAAAGATTGTTAACCTGAGCTGCCACAGCTGCCATCTTTTCACTTGCTTCAACTGCAATCACCCTTGACGCACCTGCCTGGGCTGCAAAGAGACTAAAAACGACATGAATTAGTTCTAATTGAACGACTACTTTTTAAATTCAGAAGTTGAGCTTTTTCCTTCATTAGTTAATTTTGAATGCAAAAACGAAGATGAACAGTATAAGTGACCTGTTATGCATGCTTTCAGAAATTCTGATCACTTTGGGATCTTTGGTCATCACCTTACTTGCAAATACTAAAATCAGTATTTGAAAGATGAAGTTTGGCCACCAGTATTTGCATATCTTTGGTCATGACCTACTTGAAGCTGAGGATGGTTCGCTCACTACAAAAACATATGGGAGCGTAGAATAGAATAGGACAACTAAGAGATCATTTGGTGGGCGAGTTTACATACTTCCTCATACTAGTGCATTTTCCTCTATTCCCTGTCCCTGCATAGGGATTTCAAGTGTTTTCTTCCTTGGTTTGCTCATTGCTCTTCCTGCTAGTGGCTCATCTAAAAAGCTGAAAGGAATAGATACATGTACTACTATTTCACCTTCTGGTTAAGGCGATGAAATTTTAATTCTCCTTTCTTCAGCTTGGGTAATGTAATAGTATAAAAAAGCAAACAGATTCAAAGCTTAATGCTTGTTCACTTAATCTTCTTTCACTTCCAATTACCTCCTTGCGTAGTTTTTAGTGTTCCTCTTTTTTTCCTCCATGATTTCTCCCATAAAGTAGAACAAGAAAGCTCAGACAAAGATTCAAGTGTTCACAAAAGAAAGGGATCTAAAAAGGATTTAGAAGATCCAAAATCTTCATAATACTGCATCAAATGATCAACTACACTAGTAAAATAATGTAATGAGATAAAGTAAATATGAGCAAAATCTCTCCTAACCTCAATATGCCAGTACCACAACCTACATCCATGACTACAGCACCTTTTATGAGAGAAGGATTCTCCAAAATGGCTTGCCGATAAGCATCAGTTCTTACCTGCATAAGCCACAATATAGACAATCTTGTTACCAAATATTTCAGCGGTAACCTTTTTTTCTGAAATAAGGCAAACATTTATATGGCACAAAGAAGCATAATGAAATAGTTTTTGCCAATAATCTAACTATCAAGAGTCAAAGGAAGAACGTACATCAGCTTCAGGACAATTGGACAAAGCTTTGAAGCAACAGCAGGAAATGGATATTAATCAGATTTAAAAGCTGATGGAAGAAAAATCACTTTAGAGTCAATTAAAGAGAATGGAGATCAGTGGGGTTTATAATAGGGATATTGATACTTTCTGATGAAGACAAGGTGCTAGGCGCTATATAATGTTTGTTCTGGAGCTTAGCATTCTTTGATGTGTGACAGTTGCATTCTATTGGTGCTTCTTCTAGTAAAAGTATTTCCTGATCCAAAATTGAAAAAAAAAAAAAAAAGCAAGGACTAGTTAGCGAAGCAGAACAACTAGATTAGATCAGGTCTGGTCTTTTCTGCTTTCCTTATGTTGGTGAAGTATGTTCACTTTGTTTCGAAGTAAGCAGCAGATGATTCTTGTTGGACAAGAATTACAAGCAAAATTTATTCAAGTAAATACTGGCTCTGGTAAACTAAGGTACCGCAAATAGAGATTGAAAAGGTCCAATCAGCATTTAGCTTAACATGGGAAAAACAATTTGATCGACTATATCTTCCTCCACAACAAAAGATAGTTGCTATACATCAAGAATTGGGCCAACGCAAAACCTAATAACATCGAAAAGGCTTAATCAAGATAAAAGTTACCTTATCACTTATCATGTCCCTGTGGATACCATAGGAACTATAACCACCAAAATAGCTTTTATTTACGTCCTTGACCTTATTTGCTGCAACTTTTGCTATATATAAGCTGGAATCCTGGTCATCGAGGTTCTTATACGAAGAAGCACCAGCTTCTGCAGTGACAATGCCATTGCTGAAAGTAGCGTCAGTCACTGAAGCAGATTTCCCTCCATTTTGAATGGAGGCTATAGGTTTGTTTTCTTCTGTTTCAGACTCAAAATCATCCTCATCGATGCTAATATGCTCAAAATCTTTAATTAACTCCTTTTTGTCGACAGACATAACATCCTCAACATCGTCACCTTCATCAGCATCATCAAAGCTATACAGAAGTGCATCCTCGTTCAAGGGCTTCAAAAACTCATCATCATTCCAAGGAAACAAGCCCTCGTCAAAATTAATAACCTCGTGCAAATGATTCAGTAAATCTTCCTTTGACCGACAGACAATACCACAACTCCAACATTTGTTCTCAGCAACCTAATAGCAAAATATATATAAAAAAGGATTTAAGTTATATATACTAAAACTTTAATTATTATTTTTACACTATCAGTAAATTTTGCCATTTTACTAGATTATAAATTATAATGTTTATCCGGAGATTTACCCATAATTACCTAAAATATGAGCTGGTTGTATAAATATTCTTTACATCATCTACAACTTAAAACTCATGAGAAAAAGGCCATTAGTTTCTATTGAATTGCACATAATAACAAAATCGAAGACGCTAAACTAGAATATGAAACTGACACTTTTGAACAAGGATACGTTGAATACCTTAGACCTAATGTAATTAATGAGCTTAAAGCAGCCGTAGAAATCCAAGGCGAAAGTGGTCTTGAGAGTATTGAAGTTGAAGCGGTGTGCGGATGAGCAGTGTTCAAAGAGGGCGTTGCTGGAATTGTATAGCGAATCACAGAACAAGCAGAGTAACTCTGAGTTCATAGCTTCATCTTCATCTTCTTCGTCTCCATTTTCGTCTACTTTCCAATCGTCCCAATTCTGGTCCCTGTCGTCATCTGAGTTTTCAGCTTCTTCTACTTCCATATACGTGGTGTTGGGTTCCTCCATAGCCATAGAAATTAGCTAGTTCGAAGTATTGGATTGCAAAAGGTAATGGTTAATTGGGAAGTCTGGGGAAAGGGTGAGAAATGAGAATGAAAGAAAGTTGTCTTAAACCCTTTAAAACCCTACTCTTTGTTATTTGACTATTTTCTCCCCTATTGCTAATGATTTACACTTTAAAAATCAAATTTAGTTTCAAGTTTCATAAATATAGGAAATTAGTTTTAGCACCCCAAATTTTTCACAATCTCACTCCCAAGTATTGAATTTCTTCCCAAAATATTCAATTTTGGCTAAAAACTTTTACTACTAATTTATATATATTGTATTAGAAGCACCAAGCCCTTTAGACAAATTCAACCGGCCAACATGTCTAATAGATAATTTTTTCCTTCTTAATTATGTTCTCTTGGCTCAATACTTCGTATTATATAGGTGTTGCTTACTAGACTTCTATTGTGACCTGAAATCGTTCAAGAGGCGTTAAAAATGAACTCCAATTATGAGTCAAAATCTACGTAAGAGACATTGATTATATATCTTCAAATGTGGAGTTTGGTATCTGTCTTTAATTAGCTAAAATCAGAACTATGAATAATAACGAAATTATTATGTAAGTTTTACTTTACCCACCACAAATAAGAAAATAATTCATACAATTAAAAATTTATCAATTTTAAACTATTAAAAATTCAAAGTTCATATATAATTCAAACAAGGAAAGATTTAAAATTATAATTATTTTAAAGGTCCTAAATATTAAAAAAATTAAATGATTATTTTATCAAGTGTGAACTCTATTTTTAAAAAATTAAAAAAGGCAAATAATATGGCCTTAGTATTTTAATATAACTAGTGTCCTATATCAATGAATATATAACTTTGAAAAGTTGCATAACTATTATTATAAAGTGTATTTTAATTATAAAGTAAAAAAAAATACTAAAGAGAAAGTGTAAGTTCATGAAAAATGATGAATCTATCTCACAGAAATTCTCATGAAAAATGATGCAACATTGAAAATAAATAAGCAACACAATTTTTTTTATTACGATTCTTTAAAGATTTGTTAAATCATACAAATTAAAATATTAAATCTTTTAATCTTTTTTTCGAGATATGATAATGAGGTTAGCCTTCTAAGACCTACAAGAAAACTGACAAAATAATAACGTAAATTTTAAAAATAACTAATACTGAGTTAATATTTTAACAATTAATATATTAAAATATTGATATTAGGACTTCCTCGGAAAATTTTTCTTGATAAGTGACAGTTTTACTTACCATATGAAAGTTTTCGTGATATCATTTAGCTTTGACCTATGTATTATCGGTGCTATTGGATCTTAGAACTCGCAAAATTTTTAGTTGATAAGTGACAAATTTAGCTAATAGTGATAAACAAAAATTCATTTAATTTCAGAACCCGTAAATATCAAAAAATTAGCAAGGAAGATATTATGCTACATAGTTCAAATAAATCAAGAATTTTATGAGGTAAAATTCTGATTGACTTAAAAATTTTAAATATTAGAATGTTTTATATAGTAATTTAAATAAGAACTTATCTTATGTGAAATCTATTTTTGAAGGATTAAATTTTTTTTCATTAATTTAAATAACAAAAAATTCCTAAAAAATAAAAGTGGTAAATTCATAGCTGGAATTTAGAATCCGAAATATTAGTTCTCTAAATAATGGTAATATCCTATTCAAAGTCTTTCTCTTGCTTACTTTTTAATTTGTCGTGATTTTGACAATGGAAATAAACTTTGCTTACCCACTTTAGTGTTGATTTAATTAATATATTACATGTTTGTGATAGCTAAAGTCTAATATTTAGGAATTCTTATGTAGTTAAATAAGGAAATATTTAATAACCAAAATTTTAGAAAATTTAAATATTCTAAATGTTGGGATTTTAAGCTTGTGTAGCTTAAAGATGGTGAATGAGAAATGGAGAGAAAATGAAATATTTGAGTTTCCCTCATTGGCAAAGGGACATTGTCCCATATTGGAGGAAGAAAAGGCTTTTGGTCAAAGATCGATTGGTTGATTAATCTTTTTGGACAAAATTCCTTTCAATTGTTTAATTAATTAATTAAATAATTAACGAAAAATTCAATCCGGAATAACTCATGATCCGTGACCCGGTCCGGTCAGGCCCGTTTTCTTTCCCGGATTATTTTAAATTCATTTTCCCGTAATATTTCAAACAACCCCGTTCAACAGCCATGGTTGTTTCTGAAAGGTTGCAAACCTTTTCAGAAACAATGCCAGCAACTCTATAAATAGAGTTTGAATCCCAAAATCTTTCCTTACAAAATTTTCTGATCTTCTTCTTCTTCTTCTGCACAAAAATTCCAGTGTGTTTACAACCTTCGAGTGGCTCGTTGTTCACCGGCGTTTTGGTACCAACACTCCGGTGAGTTAAACCGTTCTATCCTGGGAGAATATATTCCAGCACCTCGGGTACTTGAGGGGAATACTTTTATTAAGGACACACTGTGTATTCATTGTGCTCGATTTATTCCTACATTATTTTTCCAGAATTTATTTCTTTAAACAAGTGTTACTAACTTTCTGTTTTTGTTTATATATTTCAGAAAGTTTAATGATTTAATTGTTTATTACAGCAATACAGATTTATAACAATCTTAAGAAAATTATTTTACTCTGTATTTTGTTTGTGGAGATTAAAATCTGTGTGGTTTTCTACTCCTTCTGAATTTTACTATTCTGATTTGAAGATATAAAAAACTTCATCAGAGTATTGAAATTCATAAAACGATTTGAAGAATATAAAATTTTCATTATTTTTCTGTGAAACAGTATATAAAAACTTCGATTTTATTTATTATACATACTGTTTTTTTGTTAATAACAGTATTGTTTACTGTTCTGATTTTGCCATTAATTGAACTCTTCTATTGTTTACAGTGAGAAATTGTAATTGATAACGAAAATTTCTCTGCGACTATTGCGGCAACGACGATAGCCTCATCAAGCCAGACTGATATTCCACCGGCAGAGAAATCGGGGAAATTTTCCGGATCCAACTTCAAAGGATGGCAGCAAAGGGTGTTCTTCTGGCTTACCACACTTGGTATGCAGAAATTCACTAGTGAAGAAACTCCAGTGCGTGTTGCGGATATGCCGGACAACGAAAAATTCATGATTGTTGAGGCGTGGAAGCAGGCAGATTTTCTTTGCAAAGGCTATATCTTAAGCACTTTAGAGGATGACTTGTACAATGTGTACAGTGCGATGAATACTTCGAAAGAATTATGGGACGCAGTTGAGAAGAAGTACAAAACTGAAGATGCATGCTTGAAGAAGTTCGTGGTTGCCAAGTTTCTAGACTATAAAATGATAGACAGCAAAACTGTTGGAACCCAAGTTCAGGAGTTTCAACTTATTTTTCATGACCTTATTATTGAAGGTATGGTCGTGAATGAAGCATTTCAAACAGTAAAGCATGTCGGTTTTTGGTTCATAAATCCGATAATCCCGAAATTCACGTTAATACGGTAATGAAATCAGATAATGCTGAATTCTTTGAAAGTATCTCTCCGTATATAACTGAATGTGAGTCGTTAAGTAAAAGACCTAAACGACCTCGGGAAGAACCAAAGGAAAATACTCCAAGTATAGAAGAACCAAGGCGTAGCAAACGTCAAAGAACATCTACTTCCTTTGGACCAAATTTTGTGACATTTTTGCTTGAAAATGAGCCTCAAACTTTTAAAAGTAGCTATGTCATCTTCTGATTCAGCATTTTGGAAAGAGGCAGTCAATAGTGAGATTCAATCAATTTTGTATAACCATACATGGGAATTGGTAGATCTTCCTCTAGGAAATAAGCCTTTAGGTTCGAAATGGATCTTTAAACGGAAAGTGAAAGCTGATGGCACTATTGACAAATATAAGGCAAGACTTGTTGTCAAAGATTATAGACAAAAGGAAGGCTTTGATTACTTTGACACTTACTCGCCAGTAACGAGGATAATATCTATTAGGGTGTTAGTGGCACTAGCGGCCATGTATGGTCTTGAAATCCATCAAATGGATGTTAAAACAGCTTTCTTAAATGGAGAATTGGAGGAAGAGATTTACATGGAACAACCTGAGAGTTTTGTGGTTCCTAGTAAAGAAAAGAAAGTGTGTAAACTTGTTAAGTCACTTTATGAACTTAAACAAGCACCCAAACAATGGCATGCCAAATTTGACCAAATAATATTGGCAAGTGGGTTTAAAATCAATGAGTGCGACAAATGTGTTTACATTAAAAACACTCCAGGTCATGAAGTCATTGTTTGTTTATATGTTGATGACATGTTGATAATGAGCAAAAACATGGCAGATATAAATGCTACTAAATGCATANCCACGAGCTAGGTTCAAAGAGATCAAACAAAGTTATGAATGACGGTTCAACATTGTCAAATAATATAACCCATTCTCGTGATGAAGATAATGTGCAGAAATCGAGGTAAAGCATTAAGGCTTTTTGATGAGTCAACAAAGCTTAAAGATTTTTTAATGATTTCCTAAGTCTGGCAGGATATGACCAGATAGTGTGTCTATAGGATTACACGTTTAGAAATCACCTATGTGAGTGTGAAGTGTAAGCCGCTTCAAGGGGAATAAAAGTAAAGGCCCATTATCTAAGCACTCATGAAACCAGGCGATGTTCATGGCTGAAACGAACATAACCGTAAGAATCATAGATGGTTAAGGATTGATTGTGTGACTTATGTTGTCTATGTATACAACAAAGCTCGACGGTTCAAAGATATCAAATATACCGATTGACCTAATATATCCGATATAAGTTCACTACGGAAAGTTCAAAGGAAAACATACTTATCCAGATGCAATAAATTCTTGCATGTAAAACACACACGCGCCCGTGTATTCCTTTATTTTATAGCCATTCCCCATTCATGTGGGGGATTATTGAGATTTTAAGCTTGTGTAGTTTAAAGAGGGTGAATGAGAAACGGAGGAAAAATGAAATATTTGAGTTTCCCTCTTTGGCAAAGGGACATTGTCCCATATTGGAGAAAGAAGAGGCTTTTGATGGGTATATATATAATTGCTCTTCTTCTTGCTCTTA